TTTTTTTTTGTGTGTGTGTGTGTGTGTGTGTGTTTATTCTTGAATACTCTATTGGTCAAGTGTTTCTTTTAATGTTCGCTATTGATCTTCAGAACTTCCTCTCCGGTTAGCTGATTTTGGGGTGTTGCATCGTAATGAGGCTAGTGGGGCACTGACTGGGTTAACTCGTGTGAGAAGATTTCAGCAGGTATTTCCAGATCCTGGTGTATATTGGAAATTGTGCTAGGTTAGAATATAGTCAGCATCTTGTTACATTGGTCTATTATGGTTTACCTTTAACTTGGTTCTTTAGGTATGAGATTTTTTTGTTGGCGTTCTATGTGTATTCCATCAACTTCATAAGTTCAGTCCAATTTGTTTGCAGGATGATGCTCATATCTTCTGCAGGGAGTCCCAGGTTAATATTATTTAATTGACATGCTGACAACTATTGCTTGTGAGTTTATTAAGATTAATTTCTCCTGTTTTTTTTGTTCTGTGTTCATTATATAGATAAAAGATGAAGTAAGGGGAGTCCTAGAGTTCATCCAATATGCTTATAACATTTTTGGGTTCACATTTGAGCTGAAGCTATCAACGGTATGTTAATGTTTGATAGTTTTGTTCAAGGACAATCAAGGGAATTATTTTTTTGTTATCCAAGAAAATTGATGAGAAAGCACATGCATCTGATGCATTTTTTTGTTCTTACCTTTGTTCTTAAAAGAAAATCATTTTAAGAATATTCCTTTGTTCTTACTTCGACATAATTTGAATTCTAGTGAAGTTATCTGATGCATTTTTTTAATTAGTTAAGATGCATGCTATTTTCCCTTCATCATTCTTTGATAAATTGCACTCCTGAAAAAAATTATTGTAGTTCAGAGTGATATGTTTTTAGAATGTTGTATCAATTGACAATCTGATATCTTATTTGAATTTATACTACCTTCATACCCATGTTAGTTTTTTAGTTATTGAAAAATATGAAAACTGGTCTGATACACCAAATCCCAGACAAAGCAAAAGCAAAGTGTAGCAGTATTCTACCGAACTTGTAATCTCTTCTTGATTGGTCACAATAAAGAGTGTGAGTGATTCCCACAAAAGAGTTAGGTTCAACAATTTTATAAATTCTCCCCCAAGTTATTTTTTCTGCTTCAATTATTTGTTCTGGTGTACTTCGATCGAGGGTCAAAACCAACAATCTCGTGTATTTAGACTATGTGTATAATTGTACGGTGTTGCTGCAATCCCCCATTTTCTACACATGCTTCTTGCCCTTGGTAGAGTTGTGACTCTTGTTTACTTCTATTCTATTATTTAAATTTTAGAAAGAGAAAGGTAAGTGTTAGCGAAATAATTCCAGAGCTTCCCATTGTGCTCTCCTTCCCAAAATTCTATTAGCTAAAAAAAAAAATACCACCCAACCTCACTCTCTCTTCCTATATTCTCAGTAATTTGGAACGACAAGGGATGTAAGACTTCCATGATGACCCGGCTGGTGGACAGCCTTCCTATTTGATTAGCACCTGTTGGCCCTTGGGTACCTCCAATGTGTCTTTTGATCCTAGCACACACAAGGGCTTAGTATACTTTCCATGAAGTGCTTTCTAACCTGGTTTCTTCATTAACAATACTTCACTGCTTGCACTTTTCACGTTATCTTCCATTCTTTCCTTTCCTTTGTTAAATACATCTAACCTTTGGTCTATCGCACTCCTAGTCCTTGCATGTTTCTTGACAACTGCCCAAGGATCTTCAATACTTTTTTCCCTATCCTACTCTCAACTTGTATGCTATTTTTTCCCCTTTGCTGGTGGAAGCTCTTGCTTGAGTAACTGATTCATGTTTAACATCTCTCTATTCTTTTTTTTTTTTTTCTTTTTTTTTTTAAATGTTGTAGAGGCCAGAGAAATACCTTGGAGATTTAGAAACATGGGAAAAAGCAGAAGCTGCACTTACAGAAGCGCTGAATGAATTTGGGAAGCCCTGGCAGGTACTTTTGATGAGGTTGAACTTCCATTAAGTTTTCCTTTGATGCAGTTAATTGCTAGTATAATGGTGTGGACCACATGATTTTAAATTTACTGTATAATTGGTTTTAAAATATAGTTCTGGTTAATTTTCTTTGCACTCTTTATTGAATTTGGCTATACTGGAATTCTCTGTGCTTAACACAGCTATTCTATGATTAAATTCTAGCTTGATCATAGAATCCTCTCTTTCTCTGCTTATTACATCTTTGAATATTTGAAAATGTGTGCCACTACTTGTGGTTCTTGCTTATCCATCAGTTTAGTTCATCACGACTCTACTTATATTGTCTACCTTCTCGTTTTGCCATTCGCTGAATATGCTTTCCTAAAGCGTAACTCTACCTTGCAATTTCACAAGGTTTTTCCACGCAAATTTCTAGTCATAACATTGTCAGAATTATGTTCTAGATAATTATTCTTTCATGTTCTTTAATGAATTTGTATCTTTATCTTATCTATTTTTTATTTTTTATTTTTTTTATAATCTTATATCTCGGTCCTTGGACTCCATTTTAGCACTTACAAATTATGACCAATGAGTCATCTAAAATAGATCAATGAAGGAGATGGTGCATTTTATGGACCGAAGATAGATATTAGCGTATCCGATGCATTGAAAAGAAAGTTTCAATGTGCAACCCTTCAGGTATTATCTACTTATTTTCAAGTTTCTTTCTCGCATTGTTGCTAGAGCTCTAATGCAAACAAAAATATTTTACAACATGGGCGTATTTGTTTGCAGTTGGACTTCCAGCTTCCATCTCGCTTTGATTTATATTACTCAGCAGAGGATGAGGCCAAAAGGGAACGCCCTGTTATGATTCATAGAGCAATCTTGGGGTCCGTTGAGAGAATGTTTGCTATATTGTTGGAGCACTATAAAGGGAAGTGGCCCTTTTGGCTTAGTCCGCGTCAAGCAATTGTTTGCCCTGTGTCAGAGAAATCTCAATCCTATGCACTGAAGGTAGCACTTAAATATTATTTGTTTGATTCCTTTACAATACCAAGTCTGTTTTTCTAAGTCTCACTTTCAAAGTTCATGTATTCAAAATTTTCGGCCTAAAGATCATTGGACCACTTAAAACAATTTTCTTTTCATTAAATGTAAATGTAGAGAACCCCTTACGAATGCTGGTTGTAATACAATACATAAGAATTGTCTACATGACCTGTCTGGCTGTTACGTTTCATAGATCACGATACCATTTTGCTGTATTAACTTTTATAGGTGCGTGATGCAATTCATCATGCTGGTTATTATGTTGATGTGGATACAACAGACCGAAAGATTCAGAAGAAGGTGCGTCCAATTTACTTTTGTCTTTATTATTCATGTTTATGCTTTTGTGCCTTTTTGAAATGAATATTTCTTACTTTCCTCGTTCTTAGTCATGGTCTATGACGTTGACTGAAAACAATGTATGAATGAGTTCTCAATTTAATAATTGGTTAAAATTGACAAATTCTTGCGATACCTGCTTGAGATATGATTATCTTGGTTTCTTCAGGTGCGAGAAGCACAACTGGCTCAGTATAACTACATATTAGTCGTTGGCGAGGAGGAGGCTAACACTGAACAGGTTTCAATGCTTACAATGACAATAATATTTGTTCGGTTGCTTGTTTGTGTCGTTTAAAAAATAAAATTTAAATTGAATGGTCCTACACACCTTTCCTAGATAGACTCTGGATATGTTGTTTTCATTTGCCAAATACTAGCCTGAATCTTTGTTATCTAGTTTAGTTGAATGTGGTATCAAGCCGTGAGTTGTTGTGGCAGGTGAGTGTACGGGTGAGAGATAAGGGCGACCATTCAGTGATGAATATTGAGAACCTGCTCAAACACTTTAAGGAAGAAGTTGCAGCTTTCCATTAGAGACTTGGCCTTTGAAAATAAAAATAAGGAAGGTTGGAATGCCTCTCACCTTCATTTACAACTCGTTTGTTGTTTGGCTCCCCCTCATTACCAAAAATAAATCACCCTTTGTCTTAGATTTTCTTTACTCAGTAACAATTGTGTGATGCATATGTACATAAAAGCCTTCAAACTTGTTGTGCAATCAAATTCAATACTTTTAACTAAAATGAAATATCAACATTAATTCTACATAAATCGTAACAGTTAGCATGAATTCAATTTAAAATTAGTAACTTAATAAAAGTTGATTTGTGTTTTAAAAATAAAAAATAAAAAATAAAAAATAAAATAAAGAATATTATAATTCTTTTGTTCAACATTCAAATTTGGTTAGGTATGAAAACACATAGATTTTGGTGTATTTAATTTTTGGATTGAATTTATGAGCAATCAATCTAGAAGGTCAACTCGGTTGTTGCATGACATCATACCAATTTCGAACAGTCAAACGCAAATGGAGGATTGAGGCAGAACATGTTAAACGGGTTTTGGTTTTAATAATGATGAGAAGAAGCTTCCAAAAGTTGGTTTTTCGTCTGGCTTCTAGAACTGAGTTTTTTTTTTCATAATAAAATCCCCCCTTAGTCTTAATCTTAAGAAATAAGAAATAAATTATAAATAGGGTCAAAATTGAACAAACATTTATTCAAAACCCATTAACGAGTCTCCGTCTTTCATAGAGTTTCAAAGTTTCACATCCAACGTAGGAGAGTCAATATGGAAACTTCATTAATATAATATTTGATTTGCTATGTCATCCAAGTAATTACCCACCAAATAACTTTGGCGATAGTGTAGGCTGAATAATGTCCCTAATCGTTCACATAATTCTCAATTTAATGTATTAGCATATACAAACATTTAAGCATGTTAATCGGACATGCCAATTTTGTTGAAAAAGAGACTAAACCAAAGCAATGTTTGGATAAGTAAGTCCAGGAAATTGTGGTGATTAATGATTAATGATTAATTTAAGCACAGATTAAGAACAGTAAAAGCTCTGAAAAAAGGAATTGGATGGGTGTGTTATGTTTGTATGATATTATACTATGCACATGTGTTGTGGGTATGTCTAATCTACCAAAAACTGATTTCCAATGCAAGGAATTAAGCCCTCGATTTGATGCGAATCTTAGTCTTATAAGCAAGCTGGAAGGGGTTGGCCGATATGGTCCACGCCAATGCCGCGGAAGGGTTCCGCGGCGGCTTTAAAAGAGACGGAAATGGGTTGCCCTTGTTGAAGCGAAACGGCGAACCCCCTTTCTTTTCACCCTCCCGAATGGTCTCCAGCTTTGGCTTCCATTGGCGCCTGTATACGAGGCGGGTGTAGTCCTTAGCCAATTGGGGCGTGGTGCAGATTCTGCCGAGTGGCTCCTGGAGTTTGGGGTTGCCCTGTTGGAGCAATCCGGAAATGAAGTCGTCGGAGAGGTGGATTCGAAGGCAGCCGGAGGGGGTCCGTTGGATCTCGAAGGGGGTGTGGATTCTGTTGTTGGTGGAAGAGGAGAAAAAGGAAGCAACGGTGAGGAAGGAGAGAACGGAGTGGAAAAAATGGTTGGGGAGGAGGAAGTAGTTATGGCCGAGCTGGAGGTGGTGGTGGGGGGCAAGGGGAGGGATCTTGTGGCCGATGTAGAAGGAGTCGGCTCGGCAGATGAGATGAAAAGGGAATTCGAGCAAGACGTCAGAGACGTGGATGGGGCGGTGGTAGATTCGAACATGGCCGTCGGGGAGAATGAGGTTGATGTTGTTGTGATGGGGGAGGTGGAAACGAGGGCAGGAAGGCATGTTGGAATGAATGAACGAATGAGAGGTTGATTCAGTATATTTATGACAAGGGAAGGGAAGAATGGAGAGGCGGGTCAAAGTTGTTCGTAACAGTCAGGATTTGGGACTTGTTGTTGAAGAGAAAGCGCACGAGGTTTGACTCCGACTGTGTGTGCTGAGGTGTTTAACTCATAAAAGGTACAATTACAGAGTGGGGCGTTTGGTAAGATGTCAAAAATGGCGTCTTTTTGGTTCAACAAAACTTCTTCAAACCAAATCCATTTCATTTCTATTCTAATCCCAAATCCATTAATCCATAATCCACTCATTCTCTTCACTAATATTCATTATTTTTAGGACCCATTCATACTAGATATTGTGCATGTCTATTAAGGAGGAGTTTACAAAAAAATATTGTCCATGTCTATAAAGGTCTTAAAATATCATTTTAGAATTATGCACTCTTAGTAAACATTGGAGCCAATGTCACAAGTAGGCCAGTGTCCAGATTTTCTTTCTTTTTTTGGAATGCACATTGTTTTCATTTAAAACCAACTTAGGCACAAGGCGTTTACCTTATCGAAATTTTGTAAAATCGTAGTGCAAGTTTTTTACTAAAAAAATTGATTGTATATGTGTGGAATATTACGGTCCATCCAACGCAATCATTTCACGTTTCCAAATACCGAATCTATTTTGTGGTCGGTGGTAGTCTCCGCCCTGAACGGTTTTTAACCGGAATCAAATCTCCAGGAAGATGGGATCTGGGTGGGGACGGTGGTTCAAATTAGCCGCCGTAGTGGCGGTGCTGGCGATTTTGAGAGAGTTAGGGAAGCGATACGGATGGGAAATTGACAGAGAAGCGGCTCTCAAGGTGTTCGACCAATGGTCCGATCGATTGGGGATATGGGCCATGCCTGCGTATGTCGGCATCCATACCTTCACACTTGCTCTCTGTTTGCCCTACGCTGTATTCTTTGAGGCCACTGCTTCTTTGCTCTTCGGCTTCTTCCCCGCCGTGATTTGCGTTTTCTGTGCCAAGGTGCTTGGGGCTTCCCTTTCCTTCTGGATCGGCAGGTTTGATCTAACATTTCCTTTTTCTTGTCTGATTTCCTCTTATTCAGTACTGAGATTATGCAAGGCTTCCGACGTTCTCTGATGTGAAATTGTGTGTTCATGGTATGGAATTAAGTTCGGAATTTTCTTGCTGTAGTTTTAGATATGTTTGTTGATTGGGGATTTTATATGTCTTATCTTACAATTTTACGTTGGATTCCCTGAAATGGATTATTTTTCCCTGATGCTGTATTTGAGGATAGAAGTTGATTGACGTTTTTAGTCTATATAGATAAGTGAAAGGATTGAAGTTTTGTTAAATTTCTTGTGTTCCACATGGTTGAGAGAATAGTTGGTGCTTACTATTTGTTGTAAGCTGTTCTGTTTGGTGAATAATGAGAGTAGAAAGCTCGTCTATGATTCGGGCTGTGGCGTGGTAGGGGAAATCATATGCCACGACTTAATAGTTTTTATATTATTTTGAAACAGAAACAGAAACAGAAACAGAAACTTTTCATTAGTATAGTTTTTTTTTATGAGAATTCTACTCTGTATTGACTAAACAAACTGTACGGAGATGAGAAATCCTATTTTGCCCCAATTGGAATAGATCATCACCATGTTGTGTAGTTAGAACTTTTTTTTAGATAAAGTGCACCAATTAGAGAATAAGTATATAACTAGGCCCCTCAAGTCACATCTTTAAACACCCTTTAATTTCTTTAAAACCACAACCTCCAAGGTAACTCATGATAGCATTCTACAAAGAATCATTGCTTGATCTATAAAGGGGAAGACTCGCCCTAATACAAACCACATTATCCAACCTCCCCACCTAATGCATTTCTCTATTCGAAATGCCACAAAAAGGGACTTTGGATATAGAAAGATTATTTAGAAACTATTTGTGGAAAGATGGTTGACACCTTGTTCGATGGAATTTTATGAACCTCTCAACAGAAAAGGGAGACCTCGGTCTTTTCTCGATAAAGAAGAGGAACAAGACTCTCCTCGCAAAATGGATATTGAGATATCATCATCAAGAAAATGTTTTATGGAGAAATCTTATAAAGGCTAAATATACTCATATATCAGTCAAAAATCAACCCTTCCATCATCTGCAAAAGGACCTTGGAAGTACATAAAGAAACATTAAAACCTCATCGGTGAGTGATGGAGGAAGCACATCATTTTGGACCGACCCATGGATTGAAAACACCATGCTGGTTCTGCCGTATCCACTTTTGTACAAGCTCTCTCATTGCAAAAAAACCACGATCAAAGAAACATGGATTGTTGTTAACGAATTTTGGGACTTGAACTGTGGTAAGAATTTAAAGGATATGAAGCAACGGAATGGGTCGAATTAAGCCTTGAACTTTCTCTAGTGGTATTGTCAAACGAAGCAGACTTATTGACTTAGTTCCCCTAGCGCTGACGGGGTCTTCTCTACAAAATCCTTGATGATGGACATGGGGGAAAGTAGAAGTAATAAATCTCACGATAGCAAAGACAATATGGAAAGGACATCACCCTGAATAGGTGAAAATTTTCCTTTGGGAAATAGCACATAAAAGCCCAATTAGCACAAGCAAAAATCTTCAAAAAAAGAAGGTCTTACATTACTCTTTCTCCATATTGGTGTCCATTATGCAGGAAAGAAAATGGATCACAAATCCACTTATTTATGCAATGCACATACGCTTAGAATTTTTGGACAACGATTCTCAATGTATTCGGATGACATCTCACATTTCCTAGGGAGGTAAAGAATCTATTGGACATGGCCTTAATGTACCACTCATTCAAGAATGCGAAAGCCCTATTATGGAATAACCTCATCATGGCTTTCTTTTGGAATATGTGGAAAGAAAAAAATCAAAGAAAAAAACACGAACTTATACAAAACTCTTCGACAATGTTGTTTACCAAACTATATCTTGGTGTAAGCTGTCTAATATTTTACTTCCTATTGTTATACCTCCCTCATTTTAGAGGAGTACCAACGGAGGTTAAATTTATTAAATAACTTCCCCCAACTTGTAGCTTCAAAGGAGCCATGAAAGTAGAGGCGAGTCCAGTCATCTAATGTATTTTATGAAAGGAGCACAAACTTATGGACAAAATATTGTGAGGAAACATTTCCCACTCTTTGTTGCTAGTGTCCAACCGATCTTGGAATTTTAGACTTCCAAATAGCCTTGTCCAGCAGCTACCAAGGATTCGTTTCCTTTGGAAGAGACCTAAATACACGTATTTTAGAGGCAGGGGAACCACTGATCTTTGAAAAGACAGGACTCCCTCCATTGATGAGCTTTTCTGTGGCGAGCTTCCTTGAATGGATGCGAAGAGCAGTGAATTCCTAACCTGCAAGTTGGTGTTTATATCCGACCCACCTTGAGGGCAAAAAAAGGCACTCTTTTTCAAGTTTAGCAGAAAACAGAGGAATTTTATGATGTGATGAAAAAAAATGAGTTGGAAGGCAGTTTGAGAAGTTCATTGCTCTATATACGTAATTTATAAGTTGTTGCCCCATCTAGAAACATGTCCTGAAATGTTTGAAGTGTCTGGTGTTATGAATTTCTATTATCCAACATCTCAATCCGGTGTTATGAATTTCTATTATCCAACATCTCAATCCAAGGTCATGTTTTGTTCAGGTTACTTTTTAGGAATTCAAGTTCAGCTATGGAGTGGGCCCAGAGGAATAAATACTTCCATCTTCTTTGTAGAGGAGTAGAGCAAGATGGTTGGAAGTTTGTCCTTCTTGCCCGCTTTTCTCCAATTCCCTCATACGTTATAAACTATGCTCTTGCTGCAACCAAAGTGGGGTTCTTTCTAGATTTTCTGGTGCCAACTGTGATGGGATGCTTGCCAATGATACTTCAGAATACGTCAATTGGCAGTCTTGCTGGTGCTGCAGTTGCTTCAGCCTCTGGGTCTCAGAAATCTCAGATATGGTCATACATTTTTCCTGTACTTGGTATTGGATCCAGCATTCTTATTTCCTGGAGGATTAAAAAGTACTCTACTGGACTCGCAGTGCCTGAAAGTTCCTCTACTGTTGACCCATCTAAAACCAAAGTACTGTAGTCATACTTTTTCTTTTCTTTCTTAAGACATTTCCGGCTTTTGATTTATGAGTCCCGGAGGTTTTATTATAATCTTCATCAGTGTTACAACACAAGACATAATCTCCAAGTTGAGAGGGAGCAAAGAAAAATGTCCACTCGTATTGTTGTTTAGAGTGCCGAGGAAAGAAAAATGTCCACATTTTCTTCATTCATTTTGGTGTGCCTTTAGTAAGGTCGAGTAAAATTAAATTATGCGTGAAATTATGCATGCATAAACCTTGTTTGTATTTGTATTTTCAAAGAGAAACACCAAAAGAAGAAGTTGAATGATTATAATAAAATTTAAAAAAAATAAAGAAAAAGAAATAGAAAAAGAGGTTGATAGTTAAAGAATTGGCCATTACAAATAAGGTTTAATAGTACAAAAATGAAACACAAATAGAAGAAAGTGATTAATAAACCGTGTAGGTTACGAAAGTTGACTTGGTACAAAACCACCTACCCCACCTTCAACTGTATAAATGCAATGTGTTTTTTTGACTTTGACTTTGACTTTCATTTTATTTGGGTGTTGTTCCCACATGTACGGTATTCTAATTTTTTTTTTTTTTTTTTTTTTTTTTTTTTTTTTTTTTTTTTTTTTTTTTTTTTTTTTTTTTTTTTT